GTTATACTTTTTTTTGCCCTTATTTTCTATTGGGCTTCTTTTATTTTTTATGACAAAATAAGATAAAAATTATTGTATATTAAGAATACATGAAACAAATAATTTCAATGACAATTGCTCATTAATAATTTTTTGTAAAAAAATATTACTATGCATACACTAAATTCATCTAATAATCGAGCTTAAAAAAATTTCATTTATTCTGTATCACTAATTATATCTAAATATGTGGTTGGGGGATGAGCCAAAAGTTCATAATTGTCAGAATTAGGAAATATATATTTCTAAGTCAATATGTCTTTGAAGTCTCTGAATTTTAGATTAGTAGATTGCGATACAATCTTTTTATACTCAGTTGGTGCGTCAAAGCTTTCTTCCAAAAAATAAAATAATACATTGGAACAACGTAGTATAATTGCATTTCATAAGCAATAGACATCAATTGAGCAGTAAATTCAATTTGATTAATAGAACTTACTACAATCGATTCCAAATATGATCATTTTTTCTCTGTTGAAATGTTCATCGAATTGTTGTAAATAATTGATAGCGTTTCTCGGACGTAACATTCAATTTGGCTAGCCATCTTTGACCACCACTTAAGATAAGCTAGCTATCGACGTTGAACTCAACATGTATTTTCTTCTTAGTTGCTTAAAGCAACTTAGATCATCTCCTAACTTTTTTTTTTTTTCGAACATGATGCATCAACCAATTTTTTTTCATGTTCAATTGAGGTAGAAATGTGTTCTTTAGAATCCATTATATCATCTTTACAAATAAATATGAAATGAGAAAAAGATAAATAAAATAAAAACAATCTTCGAATACCCTATTATTTACTTTGTTTCGAAAAATAAGAATAATGAGAAATGATTTGTTATTTGAAATGATAATGAAGGCAATGACTGTAGCAATGACGACAGCAATGACAATGATAACAATTCGACAATGTAGGGTTTAGGGTATAAAAAATATCGAGAGATATCAAGAGACTTGTATACAAATTTGAGAAAAAAGTTTATAAATAATATCAAACACTATGTTTATCATTTGATAAATGGCATGCTTTTTAAATTAACTTTTTATAATTTGTCTAATACTATTTCTAATGGCAAAAATTTTGTATTTGTACATAGATTGCATTTATAGTTTCAAAACTTTGTACTTGTTTAATTGTCAAACACTACGTTTATAATTCCATAAATATCATGTTTGATTAAAAGACTACATTTATAAAATCAAAATGTGGTGCTTGTGTGTTTGTTTACAAAGTAAAATGCAACGTTTAGTTCTTTATCAAACACTGTATTTATAATGATAAAAACATTGTGTTTGTTATTTATTACGCATTTATATAATAAAAATGTCATTCTTGTTTATAATAAATTTTTTTATTTATCAAAGATTGCGTTTATTATGAAAAAAAATCATCTTTGAAACTTATTATATATATTTTTTGTTCATAATATACTACATTATTTCTAACATAATGAAAAATGAAAACCTTCTTTAGTTTTGTTGTTTAATGTTTGTTATATGATTAATTTTAATAACATAATTGATAGTTGCAATATTTGTTACATATTGTTCACATGTAATGAAGGATATTATAATAAAAAATCTTTGTTACGTAATCTAAAATTTCATTATTAAACACATGAATCTAACATTCCCATGATAAGAATAATAACCCTTCCAAAGGATTGACACTTCTTCAGGGATAATTTTTCCTTTCGAAATCTAAGATTTTCGTAAACTAAATGTCTTTCATGAGATTATTTTAATACCTTTAAGATCTTTTGATTAGAAGGTGATACGTGGTCAAAATGATGGAAATGCTTCTCTTTTAAATAATAATAAAAATTATTATAATGTCCGTTATGTCATAATTACGAAAATATGTTTATTAGCATAATAAGCAAAAATTATTATAAGTCCCTCATACCATAATTACAAAAATTACTCTTTTATCATAATTGACCAAATTATTATAATGCTCATCTTATCATAATTATGAAAATGCCTTCATATTATAATTAACCAAACTTATTATAATGTCTCTTCTACAATAATTACAAAAATGCCTCTTTTATCTTAATTAGACAAAATTACTTAATGTCTCCTCTAAGTATGAAAATGTCATTGTAATTATTTCATAATTACATATTAAATTTTAACATAATATAAAATTAATCATATATTAAATTACTATAATAAAATTGTCATTACTTCATGAAAATTTGACATATGGTATTTTATGAAAATTACTATAATACTCCTATTACATTACATATTAAATTAATATTATATAAAAACTTAACAACATATTAAATTACTATAATAAAATAAAAAATAAAAAATATAATATGAAAAATATAAATGTAAAAAGCATAACAAAATATTAAATTATTTTTTATTTTGTTTTAAATATTTTTATAGACAATTTTATAAACTATAATAAATTAAAAATTCTAAATTTGATTGAATGATGTACAATGATCAAAATATAGTATAAAAATTAACAAAAAACTATAATAACAATATATATGAAATACTATATATATATATATATTAATTTTAACACTTTTGATAATATTTTTATTTATTATTTTATATACAAATAATTATAAATATATTCAAAATAATAAAAAATTGATAAATAATAATAATAATAAATTTTGACAAAAAATAGTTCATCCTATCATATCAGGATGATTATTTCTAGTTAATATTAAAGAACTATATAAGCCACCTTTAATTATAAACAAAAAGCTAAAGGATATAAAAACTCCTTGAACTATAATTAAAAATCATCAAAACCCTTATTTTTTAATACAATCAATCAATTTGTCCAATATTTAGTTGCATCCAATTAAACTCTTATTTGGATAAAAAAATTAACCGTTAGTTTTTTTACTAATTAAGATAAAATTTCATTTATCATCAATAAAATTTGAAAATTTGTCACATGACGTAATTACTATATATAAAAAATGAAATGAAATAAGTTTTTTTCTTTTTCTTCTTTTCTCTATTTTCTATCTCTTTCTCTCTCTTTAATCCTCTAAAAATTCAATTTATTGTAATTTGGGGATCAATTAATTAAATTTTATTTCATGACTAAATTTCATCCATTTAAAAATTTAATTGAATCAAAATTAAATATTAAAGGCTTGATTGATTTTAATAAAATGTTAAGTTATCGAAATATAATTCAATACTATTTTTTACCTTTTAGTCTAAAAAAAAAAACAATATATCCCATTGTAACTTAATTTCACATTATAAAAAAAGTCTAGCTTTTCTCTAATTGATAAGTTTTACATAAAAATAAATTTTAATATAAGAAAAAATTTTAAAAATCAACTAAAAAGGACATATAATATGAAATAATAAATTCAAATTTGATCTCACGAATGTTATTTTATTTAAGAGAATTGGTGTAAGAAGTTAGAATCTTTGCTCTCTATGTATTTATAAAAAAAAAAAAAAAATCACATACAAAACACATGATAATTATATAAAGGCATATAATATTATATAAAAACATAGAATATTAAACAAATACCTTTTAAATAATAATAAATAAAGAGTTACTTTTTTATAAATATTCAGTGTAATTTTTATTTTTACCATTTGAATAAACATTAAGGCTCCGATTGTTTTAAAAGAAAATTATTTTTAAAAGTGATTTTTCTCATTTTTTTTGTTTGGAAATAAAAAAAAAAAAAAGTCAACCGAAAATGATACCTATTTTGCGGAAATTATCTTCCGCATTTATAGTACGGAAGACAGCTTCCCCTCTCATCTCCGCTGTTTTCACCGTTGGCCCACCCCTTTTGCTATTCTTTATTCTCTCTCATTGCATGCCTTCATGCTTGAAACTCTATTTAAAAAATAAAAAATAAAAAGATAGAAATTTGTTGGTCTTTCCGAAACAGTGAGGAAGAGCTATGAATTATTCCAGTAACCAACTAACCTCGTTAATAGCTAGAACAAGAGCGGCCAAAAAACCTAACAAAAGATATGAATTATTCCGCTAGTGTCCATTCCAGTTAGTTCCTACAAGGTTACACAACATAAACTGAAATTATTACAACATGCAAACAACAATCATAGGAATTTTTGTTTTCAGGATGTCAAAATAATTTACAAAACCCAAAAGCTCCATAATAAGAGTATATATAGTTGAATGAATGCTAGAGATGATCATCATAATGAAAAAATCTTTGTTTTGTAACCTTTGCAGCTCCATTTTTCCGATTCTTTCCTTTTCCGGCTCAAGGACTTATAAACTAAATAGAATGTCTCAAGTTAAAATGATACGTTGTACATTAAAAAATTAAAAATTAATTAAAAGGATTGCACGTTCTCCTTTCTTGCATTTTAAGAACTGATGGTTCATGGAAGTTCAGCGATGGATCTTGCACTAGATGCAGCAGTTTAATGGACAAGGTGGCTGGCATGTGAAATCTGCAAAATTTGTTCTTGATTTGCTCAATAATGCCGAGAGTAATGCAGAGGTTGAAGAAAGCTTTTATGGGGACAAGATTTTTATGAACATTTCAAATCTCACAAGAAAAATATCAGAAAAAATTTGAATTGCCACTCTTTATCATTATTCTAATCTTCAACATCCCAAAATCATCTCAATTACAATCTCACAGTTACTTCAATATCCCAAAATGATTACAATCTCAATCTTTCAATAATTGATAAAAAGATACCCAATTTGAAGAAGAAAGAAAAAAAAAAATACCAAATTTGAAACCCAAATGCAATTTCCTTTTGAAAATATCCTCTCTTGTTTAGAGATGAAAATCACGCGTTTCTTTTGCTCTTTCAGTTCAATAGATAATTGGTAGGAATAATCGATGCGGGCTTTCAGATAAAAGTGCAAAATTTATACTTATTAATTGGTAATTAGTTTTATTGATTTCTATGGCAATTTAGGACAGTTGGCAATGGAATAAAAATTAGATTCTGATGAGCAGCTAATGATGGAAGGTGGTTTTGCTTTGCCACATAGTTTGCAAATTGATCCAGGAAGAGAGCGGTTTCCATGCTCTATTGTTTGGACACCTCTTCCAGTTCTTTCATGGTTGATTCCTTTCATCCGTCACATTGGCATTTGCAGAGAAGATGGAGTTATTCTAGATTTTGCAGGGCCAAATTTTGTATGTGTTGACAATTTTGCCTTCGGGGCAGTGGCTCGATATATCCAAATCAACAAAGAGAAGGTGCATATTTATATATATGTTCATGTCTTTTGGCTCCATCAATGCTGTTTGTTCTTGAATTTCATTCATTGATTCCGAAAAGGTTGCTTCGGGTGAAAGCTGAGATGATATTTTTCACTTGGATTAAGAATTCAGAAGTGGTATTTAATGGTTGTGTAATTTAGAATTGGGGTCAGCTTGGTTTATAGTGCTTTACCGGATTTGGTAAGAGAGAACTGTAATAAACTTCACAATGTACATTCTTACGCCTTCCAGTACTTTTGTGAATGCGCTATGGCAGATGTGAGGACAAAAAATTTGGAATATTGGTAGCTAAAGGTGGTGTCAATCAGTGGAAACAGTTGTATAATATTGACAGCTAAGAATAGTGCCAGTGACAGGAATTGTATGGAAGCCAGCATTTCTGTTTGAGGATTTTTATTGTTGTTAGTAGTTTGTTTGTATTTCTTCCTAGTCATTCATTCTTCCACAGTTGCACATGTTACCTTTGTTGAGTTGTTTGCCAGGAATGTTGCATTTCTACCCATCCCTCTGCATTTAAAGGAGATGACGGATACTGGCATGATGATCCTAGGAGAGAGATATTAACATGGGATGATGCATTGCGAAAGGGCACGCAAGAGTTCCAACACCTGTCATACAGCCTTCTCACTTGCAATTGCCATTCATTTGTAGCAAACAACCTGAACAGGTTAGGCTTTCATTCCGGTGGGTCGAATGTAGAGAAGCTTGCTGTTCTCATCTTCCTCAAGGGCTGGTGGGTTAGCAAAACAGCATTTTTGAGATCGTTCTCATGAATTTAAATTGTGGTAACAGTCATGTTTTTTATCGCGTCGCATTTGTTATGATTATAGATATAACAGAGACCTTCGCGATCATTACGATTATCGCAATTGTAAATTTTTTTTAATTTTGCTCAACTTGCTATTAAACATAATAATTTTAATTATTAATAATAAAAACTTTATTTTATGATTTTTAAAGTAATTTATATCATGTCATGTGTTTTATTTATTTAAGAAAAAATATTTATAGTAAAATATTCATATTTAAAAAATTATTCATACGATAATTAAAAAATAACAAGAGATAAATAAATATTTAAAAAATAAATAATCATAAAATATATATATATTTAATTAATCGTACTCATCAAATTATGATCGAAATTATATTGCGTATAAATCAACTAACAAGTGATTAGACATCATAAATTAAGCAAGAGCATTACTATTTTTGGGCCAAGAGAATTACTTTTATAGGCCTATAGTAAATCAAACTTGGCAGCCTTTTTGAGGGCAATCTTCAATAACAATAGTCTTCTATTTTCTCTGCTTCTTGACTAAATTGCATAAATCCACACAACTTTTCATACTCTCACCTTCCGTTTAATAAATTTTTTCCCAAGCCTTCATCCTCATCCCTATCTCTCAACTTTCTTTTTTTCTTGTGTGTTATCTACTCGTCTCCCTCAACCTTAAGTTTCACTCTCATCTCTTGTCTCTCATTTTAAGTCCCAGCAGCTCTTTAGCAATGCATTATAGCCTAGTCCGATCTCATACACACAAAATCATGATAAATTTTGAAATTTAAAAGAAAAATGTAATTTGAGTGCTGAATTAATTGTTTACTTTAAATTGCATGTGCTTGATCTTAATTGAAGTTAAATTTGAGAGAATTGATATTTTTGAAAATTTAAGTTTTGTGGGTTTTTTTCTTGAATATGTGAATTGATATTTATTTTTTAGCTTGCTGTTTTTATTTTAAATTTTTAACCAAAGTCAAATAAAAATTTATTTCTTAAAATTTTGAATGAAAAACGGAATAATAGAAAATAACAAACCGTTATTGTCGCTATTTAAAGTTACACCACAATTTGCGGTCGCGATACATTGCTATTGGTGAGATTCAAATTCTTTTTCATTTTTTCTTTGATAAGGATGACTATAGTGGCGTTACAACGAAATAACGGTCATTATACCGCTATCTGACTGCTATTTGAATCCTAGATCATTCTTGACATTTGTTATAGTATCCAGTCTTGGACTGGCACTTGGTGGCACGACATACCTGTCTTCTTAGCCCTTTTTGCATTCCTCCTTGTTGTTTAGTTCCTTCTTGGTACTTACTGTTTCAAGAATTTGATCCATTTGTAGCTTTTTACGTGTTTCAATTCTCCAACTCCATTTTTGTACAAGATCTGTTTGTAATATTTCGTGTACTTGATAGAAATTTGAAATTAATGGGCAATGCTTGTGCCAGGCTAGGCTATTACAAGGAAGTTGTGCTCTTTGTTTTCAATGTAGGCCCATCCAATTATTATACAAATTTTTTTGAGTTCAAAAGAGATTACAATCCGTAAGAGAATGAATTGCGGACATTGACATGTTTAATTATTACAAGGAATTTTGAGATTATAGTAATGCTCTTTTTCTATGAAGAAAGTTCAAAGATGAAAATAATTGTGAAAAATATGAGAAAATATCAATTAATCAGTCATAATTTAAAATTATATAGGGTTTATTAAAATTTTATATAGAATTCAAATTTATAAGTGATAAGCTCTAACATGAATTTTTATTTTGATTGAACAATTGTAACATTTAGTAAAAATAATTATTGGTGATATACTCTTGAAAAATATTAGAATATTATATTTGGTATCCGCCTATTGAAAGGGTTTCCATTTTTTACTAATTCAAGAACATTGCAAATTTCTAATGGCTAAGATGGAATTTTTTTGTGAGAAGATTGTGTTATTTGATTGGCAAGTAAAGTGCAGTTATAATCCCAGAATTTTCATTTAGATTTTTTTTTGATTTTTAAACTTTAAATTATTTTATAGTAGTCTCAAACCGTTTAAAATTATGTCAATATGATCTTTTGATCAAATTTTGCATAAAAATAAAAGAGAATTACAACTTAAGATAATAGATCCAGAATTATTACTTTTTCTATCATATTAAAATGTATTTAATAGAAAATAAATAAAACTTTTAAAATTTTTAGGGATGAATCAAAATTATCATTTTTAACTCGGATTTTCAAAATAATTCAACATAAAATTAGAGGCAAAATAGCACTTTATTTTCCTTATTAATAATTTTAAAATTTTTATTTTCTTTCTAATAATATATTTTGATATGAAAGTAAAAAAAATAATTTCAGGTACACTATGATTTTATTTTCTTTCTTTATTCTTTTTATTAAATTTTATTTATCATATTTTTATAAATTTCGATTAAGAATATAAAATTATATCCTATTAAAATAAAACTAGAATTTTAAAAATGTGAAACATATTTAAATAATTTTTTAACACTTAATATGACGAAGTCAATAATAATTAATATTTTTATAAAGTATTTTTTGTAAATTATTATTAGTATAATATGAAACGCTCTAAAATTATACCAACATAATACAACTAACTTATTTATTATTATAATTTTATGAGAAAATATTTTATTAGAAGTAATTTATTTAAGATCACTTAACTTTATTAATTAATTCCTTAGTATATACAATTTTTTTTTTTGAGAAAATAAATGTCAACCATTTGAGAATCAAAATAATTTGGGTATTTTTCATTTCTTTCTTTTTGTTAAAAATAATTTTTAGCTTTATTTTTAATAAGATTTTATTTTATATTTTTATTAAAAATTGTAAATATTAGGGAAATAAAATTTAATAAAATAAATAAATAAATAATAAAATCAAAATAAATTATCCATAATTATAATTCTTTGCTATCATATCAAAATGTATTTATTAGAAAGAAAATAATTTTTTTATAATTATTAAAAAAGTAAATTACCATTTTACCCTCAATTTTAAGTTGAATTTTGATAATCAAAGACAAAAAATGATAGTTCTGTTTCATTTTAAAAATTTTATTTATTTTTAATAAATATATTTTAATATGATAACAAAAAATAATAATTATGGAACTATTGTCTTAAGTTGTAATTCTCTTTTATTTTTATGCAAAAATTGATCAAATGATTATATTGACACCATTTTAAAAGGTTTGATACTATCATGAAATAATTTAAAGTTTAAAGATCAAAATAAAATTTTAAAAAAAAAGTTTGCAACTATAAATACACTTTACCCTTATTAACCATTAAGTTATGTATCAATTAAGAAATAAGAATATCTTAATTGAAATTCTTCAACGCATTCCATATAAAGTTATATGTTATTATATTGCCGTCTAATGTCAATTATACCAATAATAATTATGGTTCCAAGCACCACAAATAACAATTTTTTCTCTTATTCCTTGTTTGATAAGGGATTGAGAGAATTGGACTAACATTTATGTTTTTATTCTTGGCTAAAGGAAAAAAAATTTTTTCTTAAATTTTATCACTTTACTTAAATAAATCCTTATATTTTTATTATATGCAAATAAACTTTTAAATTTTAATTTTTATTAAAATAAACTTTTAACTTTTAATTATATTTTAATAAGCGCTTAATTTTTAATTTATATCTAAATAAACTCTTAATATAAATTAATTTTTTGTTTAAAATAAAAATTTATTTCGATACAAATCAAAACATAAAATTTTATTTAGGTATAGTAAAAGTATAAAGATTTATTTTAAAATTACAATAATTTAGAGACTATTTTGATATTTTAATCTTGATTCTTGAAATAACCTTTTATGTAATTAAATTTTTATGTTTGTTTTAAAATTCATCGCAACTAAAAATTTTGAGATAAAACATCAAATAGCCGTTTGGATATCTCCACACTTTCGATGCGAAGCAATTAAATTCATCGTACTTTTAGTTAAATCCAAGTGTTAATTTCAATGAGATCAAATTAGTATAAATTTTTTATTAATTTTTTTTTCAATTGTAATTATAATAATTTTTTTTAATCGGAAGTGTAGTAAATTTTATTATTATTTTCAATCTCACCGTAATCAATTTCACCGTCTATTTAAATGAAACTTAAGAAAAAAGATTTTAATTTTTTAGGCTTGATTTTATAGACTTAAATATAAAAAAAAAAACTTAATTTATAATAAATATAGGTTATATTTGATACAATGTTAATAAATTATAAAATAACATTTTTATAAAAATTAATTTTATTTATATTTATATTTTAAAATTTTAAAATTAATTTTTTATAAATTATTATTATATCATTTACTATTATATAATAATTATATCCTATTATTTGTCAAATATAAACATATATATATTTATTTATATATTCACGAACACATATACGGGCGTGTAAATAAAAGAAACTGGAGAAAGTTGTTACAAAATCATTATTTAATTTAAGTTATTGCATAAATGGAGAAAAGGTTAAGAAGCAAGCGTTCACACACTAAGTAGGTAACAAATCAATACTACCAAATCTGATACTAATATTAGCATCATCAAGATTGACTACGTCAACAATTCTTCTAATCGAACGGCTGAGACATTAGAGCGCGTGAAACATTACCTTAAAAATCTCGAAAATGGCAAAACTACTGGCGTTCTGATTAGGCGTTTTCTTGTAATCTTGTTTACGCTGCATGAGAATCTCCGTACGCGTCTCCACCTAATAATGTTAAAATCGTAATTACAACAAAACTATAGGTCCATTTCCAAAAGCTTAATTATCTTATTTAAACAGAGCCGCAGTGTAGAGAGGAGTTGTTAATACAAATAACGTTTCTTGTGTGAGAGACTTCATTAAAAAATTTTTTTTCCCTAGAGCTAAGCCAAAATGGCAGCAGAGGAAGGACAAGTGATCAGTTGCCACACTTTTGAGTCATGGAATGAGCAGCTTCAAAAGGGCAATGAATCCAAAAAACTGGTAATTTATTTTAATATTTATGGGCCTTTTTTCTATATTTTATTTGATTTGATTTTTTTTTTTTAGATTTATGATTATTTTGATTTTTAAGATAATTGGTCTGATCTATTTTCTTTTAAAAGGTTTTCATTGGCTTGAAATAAATTTTTTTATTTGTTGGGTATTTTGGATTTACAATTTTAATCTAAAAATTTCAGGATCTGTGAAAGTTGAAGCCTTTCTTTAAAAAAAAAAATACGATTTCTGTTCTTGTTGAAGTTTACCTTTTTTATTTAAATAAAAATTCCTCAGTTAATACAATATTTGCCTGTCCATTCACATGTTAAAACTTGGAGATAGGGTGATTAATTTATATTCTTGACATATGAATATTTGTCATTCTGAAGACAGTTTTAAGGGAATAATGAAGAAACCAAGAACTAGGTTGTCACTGTCAGTATATGTCTGTGGTTTGATATTTATCCTGTTTGGTGAATATTTCTCTATTATAAAAATATTTGGTGTGCGTTGTATTAGATTATGATTTGATGTGTTTTTTTTCTTGGAAAATTTTTTTTAACCTGAATATAGTTTTGTAACATGTTTTACAACTTGTTACATTCAAAAATTTCAATCCTGAAAAAAAAAAAAAAAGGGCTGAAGAAATACATTAGTGATGTTAAATTAATGACAGATGTTAATGGTGATGTTGATGTTTGTTCTTTGTATTTATTTTCTTCTTTTTCTGCCTTTTGCTCCATTATGAATGGTATATAAAATTTTACCCATATGGTAAATGCAGGTGGTTGTTGATTTCACTGCTTCATGGTGTGGACCATGCCGTTTTATTGCACCCTTCCTGGCTGAATTGGCCAAGAAAATTCCTCAAGTCATGTTTCTCAAGGTGGATGTGGATGAGTTGAAGGTAATGCATTATATAAACCTTATATAATTCTATGTTATCAGGGGGTAATAATCAAGAAGTGAAAAAGTCGATGGAAGTTGATTTCTTTTTGTTTTCAGGAAGTTGCTGCCGATTGGGCTGTGGAGGCTATGCCAACTTTCATGTTCCTGAAGGAGGGGAAGATTGTGGACAAAGTGGTGGGAGCAAAGAAAGATGACCTTCAGCAGACTGTGGCAAAGCATATGGCTACTAGCAGTAGTGCTTCTGCTTGATGATGATAATTATTATTACTATGACCTCTCATGTTTGGAGGGAGGAATTTATTATTATAAACCTCATCATTATGTGCAGCTAATAATCTAGACATATCTACATGTTAGACCTTAAGTTTGTTTCTATATATTTTGAGGATATTTATATCATTATTCGTATATGTTACAGACAGAATTCATTAAAAGCTTGTTTCATGGTTTTGGTGATTTATAACTCTCATGCTTGAAAAGTATTGGTGATGTTCATTGTTTCGGGTTGAAGTGATTTGAGCATTTTTTTGGTACTACTTACCTTGATGCTGAGGGATACTAGGGGACCATATTCAGAAACTCATTTGACCTGGTTTGCTTGCTGTGCCAAGAGGACAGAGATAGGTGTACCGGTGTTACATGATGACGTTGGATTCTAAATTACAGCTGTTGAATGCCTCCATTTCCGGCTGTTTCATCTTAAACAGTGGCATGGGAAACATAATTTAAGGTAACCATTAAAAATGACACCATTAAACCAGAAGGGAAAGACAAGAAAACAACTGAAAAACAAGGCAGTTTAATCGGTAACTGCACATAAAACAATGGCCATACTAGGAACCGCTCCCAACATGAACATAATAGGGGTTCAAACCTTTCCCGTCATACAAACAGAATCACACAAACACAATCTTCTCTTTCACCAGTGCCCATATCCGGTTAAAAGGCCGGGCCTCGGGGCCCAAATTGCGGGACCCCCAGAACTTGGAAACTCAACTATCTTATAATCACTAATTTACAGAAGTCTATTAATCCCACTTAAATTAACTTTAAATTAAAATAACTAATTGCCTTTAACATTGAACACCTTTAGCCAGAGCCCTCCATTTCAAATGCTGTGGCACTCAATCTAACCTAATTAAACGCCTATTCTTTGCACTTTTCCTTTTTATTTTCTGCTCAGCTACTTGCTTCAAATGCTGATAGTGTATAGTTAAATTACTTGCTGCATACCTTATGAAGTTGTTCTGTGATTCTTTCAGTCTAATTAATCACCCCAGTTGGGCTGTGCTGTTGTTGAAGACATAGGAGAACAAACAGCTTCGACTGACAACCGCTTCAACACATTTGGGCATGGATCTTGCCCAAAGTTACTGTTAGCTATGGTGACTGCACATCTTTGCTTCCCTATACACTTCTGTGAAACATCAAATGGTAGAACATGGTAAGCAATGCATGCATGGAAATTTTAGTTTATCTGTTAACAAGAAAGTGAGATTACCTTCTCCAAGATGGCATATGAAGCAGGAGCATGGCAAGGGCCTTGCTGGTAACTTCCACAAGTTCCCAAAGGAGTTCCAAAACTTGCAAATTTAATGAAAGAGATTGACTGTCCAGGACTACAGTGCAAGTGAACCTTCGGTCTGTGAAACTCTTCTGCCTTTCCATAGCTTTCAATCTGCCAGTTCTTAATATTCGGGTGATACTCAGAGACTTCGGCACAAACACTGGACACAGATCTTTTTGCAAGTGCGATTCTTGAGGGAACTCCTCCAAGCTCCTCAAAAAGAACCAATAGATTCTGTGTAGGTTTCAACCAAGACCGAGGAACATGGTACCTGAGAAAAAAAAATTATGGATTAATTGATGAAAATATTTTCAATTTAAGGCCATCTGTTGCTTTCTACTTATTACACAGACTAAAAAGATTTTTGTATCTCTTCGGTGGTAAGAGTAGTTACCATCTTTGGGTTGGTTGGCCACAACCAAGCTGACACTTTGGTGGTCGAAATGTCCCGGCATAACTACAGCCATTGCAGTCACCATGAGCATATGCAGTCCAATATCTACCAATGCTCTGCCCATTAATCCAGATTTGACCTTTTCCCATACTCTCCATGTCCAAAGCCAATGGCTCGTCACCTTCAGGTGCATTAAAATAAGCCTGTAACATTGAAGGGAAAAATTTTGAACTTTTAGAATCCACAACTCATGCTGCAACGACTTCTCATTTTTATTTACCTTATGCCATCTCAATGGCTGCTGTTTTTGTGCAGCCAATGATCCCTCCATCCACTCCACAGAGGAAATACTATTTGGAGACACCAGATTCATGGCCTCTCCTTTAAGCCCAACCTATTCAAACAGGCCTTCATGAGGAAACTTATGCAAATCAATAATAAAGACATAAAAAATAGAGAGGTCAATTCCACTACCTGGTACGTCCATTTTTGCCAGGACAGGTCCCATTTTCCTTGGTCAAGTCCATGAAGTGCAACTGGACCTAGGATTCCTGTATTCCATGTCTCGAAGTGTCCCCCTACATTCTTCAATCATCAAAAAATAGGAGTCAGTTTCCCAACAGAAAACATAATAGCCATGCCATTTTTTTTCTTTTCTTTCATTTTAAAGATAAAACAGAAGTCAATAAAGCTGGTCATAGAAAATTTCCGGTTCAGAGTATCTTCTCAGTTATTTTCCAACCATAAAGATTGGGAATTTAATGTATGGAATACATTAAGGAAAGTTCCGATTTTATGACTGCTTAAGCTGTAAAGGGTTTCTACTCTTTTCCTAAGCCTGGTCAGTTTGCCAAGCACCCAACAAAGGAAGAGTTTGATGCTTTGGCCAACAAATCCCAGGCTCAGCTAAAAAATGATTTGCTGTTAGGACCTGAAGACTTCAGTAAGTGATCATTGAATGATATGGAAAGATGCCACAGGAGTTTCTAAATTTTTCATGATTTGAAGTGCAAAATAATAAAGGTTGGGGAGAAAAACTAACTGGCAATCCAACAGCGACACTTAGCAGGGCAATTCTGTTTGTTCCTGCACGCAGATTGACCTTCCCAGTGTATGTGAATCTCCTATTTTCCCTTGTTCCAAAGGCAGAACCTGTTATCACCATGTTACAATTTTTATTTCTGAAAAGCTAAAACACAATCCAGGGAAACATAACTACGTACCAGAAAGTTGTCCATTGATAAAGATGTGTACAGCATGGCCTGTTGATTGAACAATGAGACTGGGGAGTTCCCCTCCATGAAGGAAGGATTCAGATGAACCAATGTCAATGCTGTATCATATAACATATAATTGTGAGACATTTCCAAAATTTAAGAATCAGTAAGCCAATTAATTGGATTCAGCAATGCTGTGCAAAGACATTTATTGTCATTGAGTCTTCAAACATCTTGAACACAGGCCAATCTAACCATGGGGGCATCTGTCTCACCTAGTAATGTACCACAGGTAATCACTAGCATCCCTTGTGACATTTATTTGCTCTAATAGCCCATCAGCAGTAATTGTTGAGCTGTCATCCAGTGAAGAAGTATCTTCATCATAACTTTCCCATGAGAACATCTCAACATTTGTTGGTAACATCTGCATTTGTGATGTCTGAACTCCAACCTGGAAAGGATGAGCATGAATTATTGTCATTAAGAGAGCCTTGAACCTTTTTATACTTATCTTAAAGGCATTACTTGTCCTAAAAACTATGCTTCAGTTCCAATAGTCTTGAAACTATGCAAATTCAATCATTTAACAATATCATACCTTTGCAGTATTGAATACAGCATTCCTGCAATCAGGAAGGATGCTGATGGACCAAGGAGGCAAGTTATAGTGCATGTTGTTAAATAAGACTCTTGCAGCAGATTTTGTATCGTAGTTTGATAGGAAAGCTGCACAATCTCCTGATTCTGATGTGTACATATAAGCCTGGAAAATGCCAAACATTGACTAGATTTAGTAAACAATTAAAGATCCCACATCTGCTGGAAGCAGGGGGCTTCTAGAATAGAAGCAGAAACCTGTTGGAGGCTTCCAAGTGAAGTAACAATGGGATCTGCTGAAACTAAAGCTCGCTCACACATCTTAATAGCTCTGTGGAGCTCCTTTAGGTGACCATACTTTGGTTGTCTAATCAAACCTGTCATGTTTTGTGCGAAGTAGTTAGTAATGCATCAGTGTGGCTAGCTAAAACCTGATGGCCTTCACATAAACTCAAGATGATGTAGAAATGGATGAGGTTGAATTCTCGGGGAGGCAATGGGAAGGAGTGTGTAAAGGGATAGGATTGTCTTTGTAACCCAATTAATGGATTAACTGCAATAAGTATATTTGTAAATATCAGCAGAAAACCAAATAAGAATTGGATTTATATGTTTTTCAATTCAAATGCTATTGTTGTGAGGCACAGATTGCAAGGTGTGAACCATTTGAAAATGTTAAAAAAGCATTTAGAGGAGCAGTCACATATCAAAAACAAACTGAAAACATTTAAAGCAGATGCAATAATTCTTCAATATTTTAACAGAATAAACTACATGGAAATAAGCAATAGCTTTTTTTCTCACCATATTCATCTATTGGAGCATCATAATCGTAACTGGTAGTGATGAAAGGACCTCCAGCTGTACGTCCAAAATTGGTTCCTCCATGGTACTTTTTCACAAGGTAAACAAGCAAATCAGTTAACGAGAACCAGACTTTCCATTGTAAATATTTCATGTGCTTTGAGACAGTGAACAAAAAGATGAACCAACCATGTAATAATTAACAAAGGATCCTCCTTTCTGTATGAACCGAGCAACAGAAAATGCCAAATCTTCAGCTGGCCGATGATGAAGTGGACCGCCAAACTCTGTGAACCTTTTGCATAAACATTGCATAAAATGGTTGGACACTCATATCATATTAGATTTCAAATTAAGGTTACAAAAGAAAAAACACATGATAAACTTACCATCCACTCCAAGCCTCGGTCCACATTGTCGGCTTGTAGGGTTTGTTGGGATGGAATGCATCACAGTAGAAACCATTGCATGTGTTTATCTATTACAAGTACCCATGAAACTCCCTTAGCAAATCCTCATTATATAAATTAAATTGAGATTTGAGATAAACAAAGCACTATATATTGAAAGTTGGAAACAAGAAATAAAGCTTTGCACACATTTATTCACATTAACTTATTCCTTGAAAGTTCACCAAGACCATAGAGCAAGAGACTCCACATACTAAATATTGAATTACGTACCACTGGATCAGGGGCGTCTTCTTCTTTGCACATCACCCAAGGGACCCCAGTTCCTGTCTCTATGGCCATTTTCGCTGCCCAAGTAACATAATTATAGCCAGCAGCCCCTAGTAATTTACTCTGTGCCCCATACTCATTCTCAATCTGAACTCATACGCATTAAAAACAGAAAAAGGTTCATTTCACAATTGTAACTTGAGCTTAAATCAGCAAAAATTATAATTTATAACTGCATAAATTTGCATCTTAAGATGTAGAAAGATAAAATGATAAAATGGGGAAAAAGAGAAAAGCCAACAACTAAAACATTTACCTGAGAGAGAATAATGGGGCCACCCTGGGACTCAAACAGGTTATGACTCTTCATCAGTCCCACAATCTTTTCGGTGAACCCTTGCATAGCTCTCTGCAACAACGTATTAACAATCCTTATTTACTTATATATTTTAAGGAAGCAATTATTAAAATATATACTAAACTTTTAATGGCCATTTATCTTCCAGTAATTCTGCTCTAATTTTCCATGCAGTTAAAACGAAGGAAAGGAAAGTAGTGATGAAGGACTGCAGAACGGTTACCTTGAAAGGCTCATTGTCTGTTCTGAAGCTGATGCCTGGCACATATTTTAACCAGACAGGAAACCCTCTGCACATAGTAAAAATATTTAGAATACCAAGGAAATAGAAGTTACCCCATGTAGCTCAAACAGAAGAGAAGAGAAATAAAAAATGAAGTAAAGAATAAAAAAGGGATTGCAAAGAGAAGAAATGAAGAAAAGTTAGAGAAAGATTCAGATCTAACCCGAAATTCCACTCTGCACAAACATAAGGCCCAATGCGGAGATGAGCATAGAGACCTGCTCTTTGTATTGTCTTTATGAATCTTACAAGGTCATATCTCCCTTCAAAATTGTACTGTAAAATTATAAAAACAAGAAACATTTAACAAAGTAAAATTATAAATTTTATATTACAGAGGAAAATGGAGGGGAAATATAGTACATTTCCAGGAGATGGCTCATGAACATTCCAAAAAACATAAGTTTCAATCACATCAAGTCCTCCATCTTTAGCCTTCTGTATCAGATCTTCCCACATCTACAACCAAAAAAATAACCCATTTCATTTTTCACCAAAAAAAAAGTTCCAAAATTTTCAATAAAAAGAGAAACTTTTGAAGTACCTCAGGAGTGCTTCTGGGATAATGAATGGAACCAGAAAAGAGGATTCTCCTCTGCTCATTAATCACCACAGCTTTCCTATCATAGGTAACACTGCACTGAATAACTTGACATCCCAAACACAAAGCTAAGCAAAATGCAATTGACAGCCTTGAAAAAGGGCTTGTTTCCATGTTTTAACAGCTCGAGACTCAGCCTTTGAACTTGAAAACCCACAAAAGAAAGCTTGCAACTAGAAAATGGTGAAAATGAGTGAGAAAAGAAAAAGAAGGTTTTGAGCTGGTGGGCTTGTGGCTGTGGTTTAATGAGAGCAAAGTGGAGCAGGAAGAGAATCCATTTTCACACGGTCTCTGAGAGAGAAGAGAGACTCTGGGCAGACAGCAATTTATAAGTGAAAAAAATGTGTACAGTTTTCAACTCACAGCTCCAAGTGTCCATAGCCATTGTTACAATACAATAAAGGAAAGTGAAAAAGAAAAGACAAAAAAACTGACAAAAAACAGGGAAAAAGGGTATGCCAACAGTAAATGGTAGAAGCTCTATACTGTTCTTAGGTGAAGATTAAAAGCTTAATCTTGGTGAGTGTTTGAGCATTAACGGAATCTGCCATGACTTTACTAAATTAGTATCTGTCCTTTTCTCTTTTACTCAACAAATTGCCTAGACTCTCATGAAAAGAAAAAAAAATTAAGACTCAAATGTAAAATTCTGTTTACATAAATCACGGAAATTCACTTTCTTCCCAAGCTAGCACATAACATTTCTACTCAAAATATGATAAAATGACATGTAATTCTGCATGTTTTACACTTTCATTCAAGGGCAATAATAAGTACTAATATGCTTATGATGACTATTATGCGCAGTAAAATTCATTAATGCTGTCATAACTCAAATTATACCGATTATACCTTCGATTTAATGGTTGATATAGAATCTTGCTCAAAGCGTATGGTTCAAAAAAAAATTTTTTAAAAAAAATTATTAGCATATATTTTAAAAAAAAATTTTGGGATGGAGTCAAGTCATAAGATTACATCAGCAAACATCTTTACGTCTACTTGTGAATGAACTTCATCACCGTTTCACTATAATACTACCAAAGAGAGTCACATCAACACTCTTGTCTGATATACGTAATTCCAATTTAACCTAGAAAACTTACGGAACCAACCGACAACATTCACTACTGTTTGTGGTTTGACTTGTTAATGTACCCTCTGAATCGGGGCATTATAGTCATGATGCACCCAAAAAATAATAATAAAGGGTAAGTTTTGCGCAATATTGCTGCCGCTGCAGCTGCCAGCTGTGTCTCTTGGGGGACCTTTTTGTAGAATCTGTCTCCATTCGTTCTCAGTCTTTTCCATGTGAACCCAGAAAAACCATCTGAATTCTCATGTACCCAAAACTCTTTATATATATAAATAAATATATGTCAGTTTATTTATTTATTTATTGTGACAATTATTTTGCTTCTAATTCACATTAGATGATATCAACCTTTTTGTCTTCTCAAAACAACCCCTTAACATCATTAAATTTCTCTTCACATTACAATATTACATAGATCTTTTATCATTTTTCTTGGTGACTCTTGTTGATCTTCTCAAGAGTCTTAAGTTCTAGCTGTCATTCCAGCCAAAATCAATATTCTATTCTGCCCTTGTGCTGTCTTATTTGTTACTACATTATACATTTCAACCTACAATCCTTATGGTTTGAAATTTACAATATCTCTGTTTTTCATTAAAAAAAAAAAAACCATGTTCATATGGTATGCCACCACAAAGAAGGTTCCTTATGGAAGAAAAATAAATGTGTTCTCAATAAATGCAGCTAAATCAACAGTGATTTAGTCTTACACAAACTATTCTCGTCTGCAATTTTTAAAAATAATTTGAAAACCCACCATGTGTAGAAAATTTGTAGTAAATCTTATTGTACTTGCTTTGTTTGACAAAAGGAAAAAAAAGCGACAATAAATATGGATAAATGAAACAGTGAGTCTCCCGAAAATGTTCTGCAAATTATTTAAATGCAATGGAAAGTAGCATATTGATCCTCCAAACTTTCTCCAGCCCTTATTTTGGCTGATGCGGCAGGATCGACAGTGTACCGCACTGTGATTTAATTTAAGATTTGATATTCCACTTCGAACAAAATGTATATATATATATATATATATATATCCATATTCCATATGCAAATTCATATATTACGAGAATTGCATAAACTCTCCTCCATGCTTAGTTTCAAGCAAAATTCGCGATTGCTTCTTCCAATTATAACTGAATGGAGATTATAGCTTGTTTTTTACAAAGAAGGTCGTAGTTTAGTGATAAAAGAACATCCTAGATGTTAGGGATTTGAATTCTAAACTTGTTAAATGGATAACTAAATGAATTAATTAAATTAAGTCTTGAATTCAATATGTATTATTGTATAATTGTTACACTTCAATTAATTAGTCAATGCTCAAAACTTGGTCAATATAGTTAGGTCTTTGGGTTGTTCAAGTAGAGCACGCCCAAGCAACCACGTCACCTAAAGACAGCTAACCTTTCATGAAAGAAGGGATTCACCTAAGACCCCACAAATAACTTGTGAAAGTAGTCATTTTAAAACTAATCCATTAGCACAAAACTTACTTGAGATCATTAAATGCGACCCAGGCTTGCCTAGGATCATTAAATACAATTTTCATCTATTCACGTGAACCTTTCTTGAGCTCCACATAAACAATTTTATTAACTGTTAACTGTCTTAATTAAGCCATCTCCTTTGATCTCAAGCAAAAGGTAGGTAAAATATTGGATATCAAGGTAACATAGATTAGACCTAACATCTTTTAAACTTTCTATCCATTGAAGCTTCTCTCACACACTTCGCCATCCTCATTTTCTTTCTTACTTGCTAACCCTACCTTAAACTTCGAAACACGCCCCGGAGTAACAATTTTGATACCCTCTAACTATGTTTTTTGGCTGCAGGTCATGGCTGTCTTTCCTTTCCATTTCATTCTCTTTCTTCTAGCTAATACATATAAAAACACAATAAACAATTAGCACCTTCTGTGGGAATTGACAGCCATGTCTCATCAACCACGTTTTTTTGAGACAATACTATTAATGCTAATACTCAACTAGTTATTGCTATTGAGGTAATGCCCTTTTTACCAATTCTTTCTCAAATTCCATCACTAAATTTACCTTCTTGGAATTCCTTGCTCTCCAATAGCACTTATGAAAATGAATCAGGTAACAACTTGCCAGTGCCACTTTTTAAACCTTAAACTCTCCCAAAAAGAGGATCAGACCACTAATTCACCCCTATCTCCACTCATGGATGACCCTGAAACACACCCCTCCCCATCCGTCCATGTCATAAACTTAGCTTTATCCAAACTTGGAGCATTGACAGCCTTGATGCATGGATGAAACTAGGGAATTCAAAGCTCGCTCTGTCGAGCAAATCGTACCAATCCAACTTTACCCTTAAAACCCAAACCTTACCACCCAAACGGATTCTTTATTGGATGCTATAGCAAGAGCTATGCTGCACAGATTCTTGCAGAAGAATGCTGATGTCTTTATGTGGTCTGTAGCAAATATTGTTAGCATTGATGAATGTGTTATCGTTCATCACTTGAATGTAGATCCAACTACCAAACCAGTTAAGCAAAAAAGATAAAATTTACCCTCAAATGAATCCAAGCAATAAGAGAAAAGGTTAATAAGTTGTTGCCAATGGGATATGTCAGGGAAGTTAAGTACCCTGAGTGCCTTACCAATATGGTTTTGGTGATGAAAGCACATAGTATATGGAGAATGTATATGTAGACAGCCCATTTAGTTTGAGGTTAATTTTATGTTTTAAGATTAAATGTTTAGATTATTTTTATTGATATTTTTCATTTTATTTTGAGTAGTTTGATTGATTAAAAAAATAAAAAATAAAAGAAAAAAAGAGTTTAACTTTGAATGAAATTGAGAGGTTGAATTGAAAGTGCAATTGATAAAATGGTGTATTTGGGAAGAAGGATAAGAAAGAGACTTTGATTAAAAATCCAAATCGGGTTTGATTAAGAGATTAAAACTAAGAAAACCTTCACCTATTGTGATTTGAATAAAAGGCCTATAAAAAGACCCCATTGTAATTGGTAAGGGAGGATCAGAAACAATAAAAAAGATCAGAGAAAAAAGTAAGAAAAATTCTAGCAATAGTTTTGTTTTGGGTTTTGATTTTGTTAAGTTCTCAAAATCTCTTCTTGGTCTTGAGTTAAAATTTTTTGTAGAATTCAAAAAGGATTTAGGCAGCAATCAATGGCAGGAGGTGGAGGAGTAAGCAACAAGCTATTAGATTTTTAAGAAAGAAAAGGGGTTGTTGGTTGGAAGCTTAAAAAGGGAAGAGAAGTTAGAGGCTTCTAAGAAAGTGGAGAAGCCAAAATGTGGGGGCCATTTGTTTGATTCAAAAGCTTTGGGTTTTAACCCAAATTTTAGTAATTGCTTATTATTATTTTTTCCACTTGCTTATATGTTTATTTATTTACTTATTTATATGTCACATGGTAGAATTTCTAGATAGGAATATATTTATAGATTATTTGAAAGTAAATAAAAAGTGAAAATTTTAATTTTTGAAAATAAATGAAAATTCATCCAATAATGAAATTTTAATAAAGTTATGGGCATGTAATTTTCTTGAAATTTTCTTAGTGAGAGAACTTTTTCTAAATTCAATCAAGGCGTGGAGGATTTAGAAATTGGTCTCAATATCATAATTTTTATTTGTTTCTAATTTGAAAATCAAAATTAAAAATAAATTATGGTGATTTAATTGCATGATTAATTAAGTTGTGATTACATGATTATTGTATTTTATTGAATTGTATATTTTTATGTATTTTATTGGATTGTGTGTTTTACTATGTATTTTTATATGTATCTCTTTTTCATAAAATATTTAATAAATTCAATGACAGAACTTTTTTAAAAAAATAGGTGTTTTACTTGAATACTTTTGAGGTGAAAAATATTTTTAAGGGGTTGACCAAAGTATTGGAGAAAACTTAAAAATATGTCCAATATTTAAATATTAAAATTAACGAAAACAAAATAAAATAATAATAAGAATAAAATAAGGACCATTGAATTAAGGCTAAAGATAATTTAAGATTAATTGAAACCAATTTGTGGGCATTATAGGGGTGCCAAATCTTCTATACATGTAATCGAACTCTCGAACTCAGTTTTGTTTAGAAGATCAAAACTTATTCTTTTTAGGGACTCTTAGTCAAGCTAGGAAAACATTAAAAAGATAGATTCACTTAGGTGATCAATTACACCTAGATAAAAAAGATTGGTGGTGACTCCATATATTGTGTCTAATAAATTGGTTCTCGAACCTAGACATTATGACAGTATGTAGATTTCAT